CTCTGATTGACTTATTTTGCTTAGCATAATACCTTCTAGTTCCATCCACACTTTGTACATTTTAACAGACTGAGATTGCCTTCCAATTTCCACCAGCCAAGGTACCTGAGAGTTTTCTATATCCTTTCCATCTGATGTTGGCAAAGTTAAATTTTAGTACTCTGGTGAGTGAAATGATTTACTTGGTTACTGTCCTTAATTTGTACTTCCTCTGTGAATTGTCTTTTTTTATTGTCTTTTCTTAATTGTAGGATTTTTTTTTTTAAAGGTTTTATTTATTTGAGAGAGAGAGAGATAGATCACAGAGGCCATGGAAGAGGGAGAAGCCGACTCGCTGCTGAGCAGAGAGCCCGATGCTGGGCTTGATCCCAGGACCCTGAGATCATGACCTGAGCCGAAGGCAGACGCTTAACTGACTGAGCCACCCAGGCACCCCTTAATTGTAGGATTTTTTATCTTAAAATGTGCTGGGTGCTCATCTGTGGTCAATGGATTTTCTTCACTATTTTCTTCAAGTCTTTGTCTTTGATTATGGTGTCTGTATCACCGGAGTACAAGCCCAAGATGGAAGCCACATAATATGAACAGGGGAAGTTTGACCTAAGAGTGGATTGGAGGGATAGGACATATAATCTGTAATATTTTAAGAAATACAAACAAAGCAGTAAAGGATTCTAAAGGATACTGGCATAGGAAATATAAGATGGCCACTATCTGTTCTCCCTCAACTGAATTCCCGAAATAATTAGGATACAGCCGTGGCTCTCTGGATGAAGTTCGTGGTAGCTGCAAATCCACTACCAGGCAGCTATGGGGAAATGATATACCAGTGGTAACCTGCGAAGTTATCCAAGGGATGCAGGGTAAGCCATGCACAGGACGTACCACACCAGTGACCCCCCACTGCTAAGCTGTGTGCACTGCTAGAGTTTTGCCCAGAACCAGGAAAAGAAATGCCTCCAGTACTGTCTACTGACAAAACATCATGCCACCTAGCAAAGAAGTATTCACTCATATGGTTCAACTCCATTGTCATTATCATGGTGGAGCGGGCAACAGGTGGATTCAAAGCTTAAAGCCCTTCTTTCTGTTGATTTATGACCTCCCACTATTTAATATTTATTTTGCCCTTGCTGAGAATCTCAAGTGGTCAGTTCTTTTCCTGGTGGTGACCCAAATATTACTACCAAAGGGTCTGGGTCTTCCACTGTTCTATCTGTTTTGGTTGCATAGTTTTTCATTAATCTTTACTATTGGTATGGAACTACTCAGGCACCCAGAGAACCCCCTTGTTCCAGATACGGTCCTTGCCTCCATTGTGTACCAGCAATACAACCTCCCTTTGGTAATCAGGATTGACCATTCCAACCAGTAGGGTAACACCTTTCACGGCCTATTGGTTTAGTGGCTTATGAATCCCAAGATGGCCAAGTGGCAGTCTCATTGTAGATCTTATATCAATAGGCCCATTGTTGTGTCCCTGGTTGAAACAAATCTTGGGAACTAAGACCTCCAAACCAGCTCAGCTTGAGGTTCCTGAGCTGAGAAGTATAATCCTGAGGAGTCTCGCCCACTTCTACCCCTGATTGATTCCTGGGTTCATATGCTACCTTCTGTGAGACAAGGCCATCCTTTCAAGGTGGTATCTCCCAACAATTACAACTGAGTTTTCAATGAATTATTCCACCTTTCAATTAGACCAGCCCCTTCTGGGTGTTGGGGGATGTTAATTTCATAGGCATGAGTTCACCTCAGCATTTCCTTTACTGTGAAATTGATTCGTTAATTAGAAGCTGTGCTATAGGCAAAGACATGACAGTGGATAAGGCATTCTGTGAGTATGTGTATCAGATAGTAGTGCTGGCAGAGGCATTATAGACCATGTCCAGAATGTGTGTGTATTCCACTCAAGAGGAATCTCTGTCCTCTACGATGGAAAAGGCCCAACATAATCAAATTGCTATCACATGAATGGCTGTTACCCATGAGATTAACACCATATTGCATGCAGCCTCAGTATTGGTCTCAACTCTTGATAGATTAGGCAGTAGTGGGTAGTGCATGCCAGCCTTGGTAAGGGGAGATCCATGTTGTTGAGCCCATGCATGGCCTCTAGCTCTGCCACCATAGTCACGTTGTTCATGGGTCCACTGAGCAAGTCCGGGGGTAGCTGGGGAATGAGACTGACTGATACCCGTAGAGTGCATTATTTTATCCACCTGATTAATAAGAGCCTTCTTTGCTGTAGATGCCCTTCAGTGACATGGGCTACGAATATCTTCACAGTGTGTTTCCATTCCAAGATCCATCCACATACCTCTTTCCACATTTACTTGTCACCAACCTTTACTATTTCTTCCAAGTCTCTGACTATCCAACCAAACCATTAGCAACTACCCAAAAATGAGTGTGGATTTGTACTTCTGGCCATGTCTCAGATCAGACACAGTGGACAGTCAAATGTACTACTTGCATTTCGCACGGAAGATTTCCTTGCACTCCTTTGATTTAGGCTCGCTCTTGAGTGGAGCATGGGGCTACAGCTGTCCACTTTTGGGTGGATCCAATATATCCTACAGACCTATCTATAAACCAGGTTTAATTTTTTTTTTTCTTGGCTAGCTAGTTGTTAGAAACACCCCAGACCAGAGGTATTGACTGAGGAAGAGGAGGCAACAGGAGTTGGTGTTGAAAGAGTCTGAGCCACATGTTCATGCAAGCTATTTGTACCTTTCAGAACTGTTCCGTCAAGTTAACAATTGTAAACTATTTCCATTGATGATAGATTGCTGCTGTGCATGCTCAAGTTTATGACTAGGTAGATTCTCCAACACCCAACTCATGATGTGAAGGTCAGGCTACCTGGTCACCTACCATCCCATGGCTGGGTAATCAGTCTCTATAAGGCATAAAAGGAGAATAGTTATCTTCAAAAGAGGGCCTAGATTTGCTCCAAAATCCTAGGGTTCTGCCCTGTGTTTCTGCTTGACAAAGGCTCTATACATGCTAGGATACTTTTAGTATCACCTGCTCTGCTGGATCATAGGACCTATATGGCAGAACAGCTTATACTGTAACTCAAATTCATGACAGGACCTTCTCTTGCTCTGCTCACCACTCAAAATTGGTAATCTTATAGGTAACTCTAGAGGTGGGTTGAAATAGCAAACTCAAATATGGTACATGTTGCCTTCAAATCCAGAAAGGCCTACTGAGCATCATGCCTTTTTTTCATGGTATATAGCTTGAGCTAAAGCAAACTGTCTTTCTCCTCAGAGGGAGATATTTAACATGCTCAAAACCACTGAACCCACCCAGAAACTTCACTGGGGTTAATAGCCCTAAGTTTCTGTGGAATTTGTCTTTTACCTTCTAGTTCTTGTATGTCTTACTAAGGCGCCAAAGTATTTACTACCTCCTACTCATCATATCCAATCAGCATAATGTTATCAACATAGTGGACCAATGTGATTTTTGTAGAATATCATCATGATCAAGGTCTCTACAGACTCTATCATGGCAGAGAGTAGAATTGACAAAGTCTTAAGGCCAGACTTCGACAGTATACTGCTGCCCTACCAGGTAAAAGCTAACTGCTCCTCATGGTCCTTACAATTTGTTATGGAACAAAAGGCATAAGAAATTGGGTCAACAACCGCATAACAAATGCCAGGAGGATACTCATTTGCCCCAGTAAAGATACCACGTCTGAGATAGCAGCTGCGATTGGAATCACCACCTCATTAAGATGTGAACCTGATAGTCTGTAGTCATTTTCCAAGATCCACCTGTTTTCTGCACAGGCCAAAGTGGTGATTTAAGTGGCAATGTGATAGGTATCATCACCCTTGTTTCCTTTAGGTTGTGATGGTGGCATTAATCTCTGCGGTTTCCCCACGGATATAATACTGCTTCTGGTTTACTTTCCTGAGAGGGGAAGTTCCAGGGGCTTCCAATGATCTCTTCCTACAATAATGAGCCTTCAACTCATGGGTTAAAAACCAATATAGGAGTGTTTTCAGTTGTCAATTATGTCTATTCCAATTATACATTCAGGAACTGTGGAAATCACCACATGGTGGGTCCATGGATTGACTGGGTCCACTGTAATTTGAACCTGAGACCCCTTCTGTTACCTCACTGTAAACCTTCATTTTAACTGGTGAGCCACAGCGTGTTTTGGATTCCCAGGAATTACAATTTTATTTTTTAGGAAGGTTCCATACCCAATGTGGGGCTTGAATTCATGACCCTGAGATCAAGAGTCACATGCTCTACCGACTGCGCCAGCCAGGCATCCCTTGGGTTCCCAGGAATTAGAATTAATTTGGAGGTAGTGCCTATTCTTCACCAAATGGTCTAGATATTTCTTTTTCTCTGATGAACAGTAACTCTAGGAGATGACTACAGATCCCTTAGGAAAATGTTTTGAAGAAGATTTATGATGTGTACCTACAGCAGTGGTATAGGGTCCTTTCTCAAGAGGATCCAGCCTCCCATGAGGTCAAGGTCTGTAAATTGACTTAGGTATGGAATCTGAGTGAGAGACTATGACTCTCCTCTGTGCTAACTCAAGCCAGGTGTTTGGCTACCAGAGTTTTTCCTGTTGTATAGATCAAGCAATATTTTAACTGGCTGCCCATATGATTTCATTCAGGGGGACACGCTGACCACCAAAGATATCTAAGTGCCAAGTCTATAATCTGAATACTGATATGTCCCTGATGCCCTTTATAACAGACATACCCACCTTGTCCTTGGCAGTTGCCTTCTGCTATTCTGGGATTGCATCATGACCATTGAAATGAGAGAGCCCATCTCAACAGCAATGAGAAATGACAAGATTGTGATTTCAACTGTCATTATCATTTAGCATTCTGCACAATTAAAATTTGTGCTTAATTTTTAGCAGTATTACCCCTGTGACTACAAGAAATAAGAGATTTTTTTTTAAAGGCTGCTGTGGAAGCTCTCTGGTTTGCAGACCATGATTTGAGCTGAGAATTAAAGGACCAGAGCTTGTCATTTTCTTCTGTAAGTGCTAAAGTGTAATATGCAACAAATGAATCATTGAACACTACATCAAAAACTAATGATGTAATATACAGTGGCTAACGGAACATAATAAAATAAATAAATAAAGTGCATCCAAGAAAGTCCATCTCACACCCCAGTATTTATGGTCATTATTGCCATGAGAGTCAGTATAGTAGCAAATTAGGCTCCCAAGGCATATGCTTCAGTAGGCTGCATCACAATCAACCATGGGTAATAACTTGGTTAGTTGTCATGCCACTGCATGCGAAGGATTACTAGTATTCCATTTCTTATTGTCAAGGAGCTCAGCACTGTGTTCAAGCCCAAGGGTGCAATGAAACAAATCCCCAAACCCCGTCTTTGTGAGTCTGTCCCCTAAGACCACTCCACTACTGGTATGAGTTCTGTATTATTCATGGGCCAATTAAGAGATAGAAACCACACAGTAATCAAATTGTGAGAAAGTTTAATATAAAGGCTTATTAACTATAACAAGGGGTTGAAGTAATGGGAGGATTGACTGGGAAGCAATAAAGAGAGCTCTGAAGAATATAGGGATAGCAGATATAGTGAGCAGCCAACTACCCTCCAGAGCTGACATCCATTGGAGAGGGTGTGGCCTCATTGGAGAGGGTGTGACCAAGGCTCACTGGATGGCAGAGAAGGTCACTGAGGCTGGGAAGCAGCCCTCACAGAAGGGGAGCAGGAGGAGAAAGCCCTTCACAGAAGGCGCCATGCCAGTGGCCCTCCACCAGGAAGCTGCATGCTCTTCTGAGCATTCCTGCACTGAAGCCTGGTGCTACAGAAGCCATGGACATGGCAGGAGCCTGCCAAGAGGAGCACCCCAGAACCTCCTTCTCCTGAGTCCCTCCAGTACTCTCTCCTGACAGAGCTTAAAATCTTGCAGTGGGCAAAGAAGAAATATTTACAGGGTCCATATTAATTATATCACAGCAGACAAGAATGAATTTAGAGCTGAGAGGCATAAATTAATAATTGGTACCATACCTTGTCATGCTGAATTTTTAGCTTCGACATCAAAGTCATCGATCTTCCTCTTAGCTTTTGTTTTTCATGTTCTATTTCAGAAATAAGTTTGTGTTTGTCCTTGTGCATGTGTGTGTGTGTGTGTGTGCACATATAGATCTTGAATCCATTCAGGATTCATTTTGTATAGTGTAAGTGACAATTTTTTCTACTTCAAATAGACTCAACCTTATTCTTAATTTGAAAAGCTATATATATCATATTTAAGTTTATGTATGTAGATGTTTCTCTGGTCTGTTCTGTTCCATTCATCTACCTATTTATTCCTTTACCCAGGATACATTTCCTTGTCTGAACAATAAGACTTGGATCAAGACTTTACAAAAGTCTGAAGAGGGTTTCAGTATTTGTAGGAAGGATAAAAAACTGTTAAGAGAGGATGATGTTTTTAAGTGAAACAAATAGAAATAAGTGCTCTGAAATTTATTTAATCTGTTCTGGTTTTTCACTTGCTAATAAATACTGCTTAGCACCAATGCCCTCTCTCCTGGTTCCCACCACCTCATCAGCAATCTAGAACCCATAATGAGAGGCTGTTGCTTGACCAAAGGCAAGGCCTAGGTTGTAGAAATGTGGATCAACTCTAAGTTCTTAAAACCTAAGGCCAAACCCTACCTCACCCAGGACATTCGGATATAATCATCTCAGTCCTTCCACACTTTCTTCATAGTACTTTAATAAAAATTAGGTAAAGTTTTAATGGAGGTTAGAATCATTTTTATTCATTCAAATGCTCAAGGAAACAAAATGTGGAAAAGCATATATGATTACCAGTCAGGTCCTTATGGGATTATGGATGGAGCTGTGCGAATTTGAAAAGCTAAATGTTGAACATTTTCTGCCACACTGGGTAGAAAGACGTTGTCAGACCTTTTTTTGTGTTTAATAGGTACCTGTAATATAAAGATTAAATAGGTATTGGAGATATCATTAAAAGTCACTGTTACTCATAAGACCAAGATCATTGGGTCAGTCTGGGTTAGGCCATTTAGGGTGCCTTCTTGTATTTGCCACTTGTCATAAAGGGAACTGGTCATGAATTTAATCTATCAACAGAAAGCCATTTTCATCTAAGGAAAAAAGATACCCCATATGTGGAGTAATCTAAAAGTTCCTTAATAGTTTATCATTTGTCTTAGCGGAGTGTTTTGTTTTTTAGAAAATCATCGGCGGTCTTACATTCCAGCTATGTATAAATTCCTCTTCAGTCTGTATTTATCTGATTTGTCTTACAGGGCTTTCTTAAGAAGCCAGAGCTTAGATTCGAAGAGGCTCCAATTCTTTTGTGCCTTTCCTGGACCTTAGGCTTTTTGCTTGGGGTTTTTATAATGTACACAAGTTAATGGGCCACAAAACACTCCCTTACTTACTAGGGTTTGTTTAGACCATCACCCTTTTAAATCTTTCGAATACAGTGGATCTCCTCAAATGCATTTAGTGACTTAAGCAGCCTTCTCAGCCATGAGTTATAATCATCAACTACCTCCATGAGAGCAACATTTGCTTTTGGGAGTGAAATGGGGATGAAGTGAATCTTAAAAGCCCTTGTGGTCCCATACACACCAACTGAATATTGCTTCCTTTTGGAAAAGGCTTTTTCAGAAACAAACAGCCGTGTACTAGAATTTCACCTTTTGGTGAAAGATGACTGCACAGAGATTGGTAAGTCAAGCAAATGGCGGGCATTAATAATGTGGTCCTACTGGTTCAAGGACCTCAAATGGATATTCCTGACCTGTTTCTTCCCTTTCTGTATATGACTCCTTAACTGCATGTTCAGAAATACTGCAACAAATGTTTGGTCCAATAACTAGACCCTCTGCTGCAGAATTACACCCTCAAAAAAGACCTTAGAATTGGCATATTTTCTCTGACAATATGATTAAATCTTTTTCTTTTAATTTTCCTCAAAGCAAGAGGCAGGAATTCTTAAATGTGTTGACATGTAAACTTCTGGAGGGGATTCTGAAAAACAAGGGCGCAAAGAGTGTAATACTTATCAAAGTAGTGCAGAGAAGGCAGTGGAAGAGCGTGTAAATGTTTTACATAAGCTAAAAGCTGAAATGTTAAAAAAAAAATTCATGTACGTGCTATACCTTGACCTAATCTGTTCCAAGAATTTCTCTGGAGGGTAGATTTCTCACATGTTTTTAAAATAACTTCTGAAACTTTCTGCTCTGCCAGGGAACTCAGATAAGTGATCTCATGCTGCTAGTTAATTATTGTAGATGATGGAAGAAAAAGAAGAAATTCAGAGAAGAAATTCAGAGACAGAACACAGCAAGGTGTTGATACTGACTTCCACATCCATTTGTTTAATTGTAATTGAGTAAGTGCTTTTGGGCTGAATTGTTTTGACATCAGAATTCAATTATTGAGGAATAGCATCAGCAAGATGGCAGAGTGGGAAACCCTGGATCATCCTTCTTCCCACAAATGCATTGATTCAGAAACAATTCATGAACAAATTCCACTGTGAGAAATCCAGAATTTTATTATCTAGACCCATGTATCTAGAAAAGAGCCTGATATTTTTAATGTAAGTTTGAAGTGAACCTAAAACCACAATTTCATATTTACATTTTCATTGTTTCACATATATAATCAAATTTATCATTACTTACAGTGTCTGGCCTTTGAATCCTTCTTGTTATTTTACTGCTCATAAGATTAGTCTTTAAAAGGTGTTGCTGTGAGTGTCTGGATGATGTGGGCGCAGAACGTAGGGAATACTGAGCCCAAGGTATAAGGCCTATAATGTTAAAAAATATTAAATTATATCTCTGGTTGCAGTGTATAAGCCTAGATTTAATCCCTAAAATTTTAGAGCTTAAAATGAACATCTAATCCAGCTTCGTCAATTCTGAGTGAAGATGTCAAAACTTGGATGGAATCTTTTGCCTGAGGGTCACATGACCAAGTGAAAGAGAAGGATATGATAGGTGACTTGGACTATGGTGGGTAGAAGTGGACAGACTTAGGGATATTCAAATTAATCAGACTCAGTAATTAACTGGATTTGCAGGGTGACAAAGAATAGCTCCTAGATTTCTGGCTTAAGCAACTGGATAGATGTTAATTTTATTTTATGGTGGATTTTATGATCCTGGCACATATATACTCAATAGGTCACAAGATTAGAAGGGTAGATGGGTGGGAAATATGAGTATGTAGAGAGAAAGCTGATAAAAATTAGTTCAAGACCCCTGAAAAAGTAGGACCAGATGGGAACCCATGCATTGGGACTGGCCCCAGGAAGGGGCACCTTTTCCATTTTACCGGGAAGGATGGAGAAGCGGCTGAGTATTTAATGTAGGTGGGCTGGGTTCAAGATATAGAGGGGGGTTCCCATCGGATGGCTTTTAACTGCTCTGTGAAACTGAGGTACAGTGTTGGCTGGAGAGGAGGACTGTGTTTGAAGGTCTGAAGAGGCCAGGAAGATTTAAAATAGTTACTGGGAAGAGGAGAGAGTGAGCTGACCCCATCCTCAGCTCTAGGGGAGGGACATGTGAGCTGATCCTAAGCGCACTGAGCATCTTAGTCTCTGGCTTTAGTGATTTGTTCAAACCCGGGCACGTGACTCGAGTCAGCCCAGTCTGAGGCTGATTCTTTTTAACTGTCCCATCTCCGCACTGACTCCTGCCCCGTGAGCTGAACAGAGCAGGGGAGCTACAGCGGTGGCAGCGATCTTGCTCCCCAAGGGGCTCCACTTCCTCTCTGCTCTCAGCATTCTCAGAGCCCAGAGGCGGCGAGAGAGAAATCGGTGCTCGTGAAAAACGTCAAACCCGGATCAAGCGAACTGAAGCCAGTCTGCCTCTGAACATTTCACAGTGTTGTCAGCCAAGTGATTTCATTTGTTTTTCCCTTAAGTAGTTTAAGAATAACTGCACTAGAACATGCTATAGTTTCCCAGGAGTTGTAAGATCCTAAGGCGAATCCATGCTAATGCCAAGTAAAGAGAGCTCGCCCCTTAACTCTGCCTTTGCCTCTGATGCTTTCTGATGTTGGGAGCATCATAATCAACATTTGTAGTTATTTAGTGTTTCTAAACAACAGAACAAGTGTTTTAGTGTTTCTAAACAACGTGGCAGACGTGCATTATTTCGTTTAATCCTCGGAATACCCTTTTGAGGTGGAGAGTCCCAGTTTACAGAGAGCCTAATTAGCCTGTCTAAGGTCACATAGCTAGCAGTGACAGAGCCAGGATTTGAACCAAAGCTCACACCCTCAACCACCAGGCTACACCGGAACAGAAAAGCAGAGGCTTGGCTGATCTTAATAATAAGTCAGTTGTGTATACTGATATTTGATGATATTTTTGATAGTCAGATCTAGAAAAGAACTTAGAATGTACTTCATCCTCAACTTATAGGGGAGGAAGCTAGTTTAGAGACATCCTGGGTTTGACCCCTGCTCCATGCTGCTTGCTCCTACATTGCCCAGAGGGCTGTTTTGATTGCCATTTCTATAGGACTCCTCGGGCCCCCAGCTCCCATGAATCATAATATACTTTATAAATAACATCTGAGAAATGTCATCATTGATGTCCCAAGGCATTAAGACAAAATATAGTGAAGTACCCAGTGTTCTGTAAGTGGTATATTACACACTTCTGAGACCAGTTTTTATGACTAAAACCTTTTAGCATAGGATGTCAGTACTCTAAGGTGAACTAAAGTAGAAAGTTATGACTGCAAATCAGAATGAAGTTTTTTTCATTCATGTATCATTCATTCATTCAACAGCCATCATGGAGCACCCACTCGATAACCACTGCGTTGTTATGGCTAGACCCTGAGATCCTCCTCAGTGCAGACCCCAGACCCTGGGAGTTTGTGCTAGCCAGAGTAGGGGACCTGCTTACCGCCTGGTGAGCTCATCTGGACAGATGATCGCTCGGCGTCATTAAGCTGACTTTGTAGCTCTTGTACGCGCTGGAAAGCATCCAGCTTCACACTGCGCTCCTGGGCAAGCCGGCTTCTCATCTGAGGGGAAAAGTGCTTAGGAAGTAGAGATGCTTTTTAGTGCATACTTAAGTTCCTGGGGTTCCTCGGAGAGTGTGGGTCCAGGCTGCCCCAGGAATACAAGTCCTCATACAGTCCTGGTCAGGCTGAACTCAGCCTTCTAATGAGAGCTCCAAGAAGGCCAAGAACTTAACCAAAGAGGAATAGAGGCAGCCCTTGGAACCCCTTATTACCTTATCATAGCCAGGAGTTCACTCACAACACTTTTATCTTTTGTTTATCTCACCACAGGGGAGGGGAGGAGAGGAAATGGAAAAGGGCTCAGTTCACAGAGGCCCTTGTGGGTCAAAGCCATGAAACTAGCCCAGGGATGGGAGGGAGCCCCTGGACAGTTTCAAGCAGAGGAAAGACCTGATCTCTCTCCCAGATCTCCGTTTGGTTCTACTCATCATCTGCAGGGATGCCCTGAGCACCATCTCCCAGGCCTTATATGAGACCCCTACCAAGAGGTGACCTTTGTATTTACCCATGTGACTCTCTGCTAACACAGCTGGCCCTTGGACCCCCAGCCGGAGAGTGGCTGGGTCCAAAGTGCATCTTATCCACAGAGAGCACAGGTATTTTTTTCTTTTGAAATTTATTTTTATTTATATAAATATAAATTTATATAGGTTATACCAAGTAATTTAATTATAAAAATTACCTAAAAGTATAAAAAGTAATGTAATGATAATTATATTATAAAATTATGAAGTATAAAAAAGCAGTAATAGTATAGTGGATTGAATAGTGCCCCCCCCAAAAAAATTCATGTCTACCTAGAACCTCAAAAGGTGACCTTACTTGGAAATAGTCTTTTCAGATGTAATTAAATTATGATGAAGTCATATTGGATTAAGAGTGGGCCTTACATACAATGACTGATGCCTTTATAAGAAGAGGAAAGGGTTCAGACACACAGAGTGACACCTAGGGAGAGGGCCATCGGAGGGAGAAGGCAGAGATCGGAGTGATGCAGATACAAGCTAAGGAATGTCAAGGGCTACAGCCGCCACCACAAGCTAGGAGAGAGGCAGAGAACAGCCTCTTCCTCAGAGCCCCCAGGAGGAGCCAACATCTTGATTTCAGGCTTCTGGCCTCCTGAACTGTGAGAGCATACATTTCTGTTGTGTTAAGCCATCCAGTTTACGGTGATTTGTTACAACAAACTAATCCACATGCTAATATAAAAAATTCAGCCACATGTGTTTTAAATCCTACTCTTGTCTGCATGGACCCAATGAGAAGGCCTGTGAACTCTTAAAGCTGTGACCACAGGCTCATCTTACAAATGTTAAGGGGCAGTTTCTTGTGTGTGCAGATGCTCTCAAGTGTAGTTTAACTTTCAGTAGGAGATCAGATCCCCAGAGTTAGGAAAACTTCCTAATACAAATTAGGCCCAAGGTCCCTGTACGTACTCTAAGGATTGCTATAGGCTCCCCAGTCCCCATGCGCAGGAACCAGGAAGAACATGTCGAGACTCCCTGAGCCAGGCTGGGGCTGAACCAATTTGAAAAATATTAGCAAAAAAACATGCATAGGAAGGGCCTTGTGTTGTGTTAGGACCTTAAAAAGGATCCCACCTCACTTCACAGAGGTAGGTGCAGTGATTTGCCCAAGATCCCACAACCAGTTAGTGGCAGAGTCAGGATCTGAATCCAGGTCAATCTGTTTCCAAAATTGTCCACCTTCATTCATATTCCCAGCAAAAAGACATATAGCCAATATTTGTCAAGAGCTGTATATCAGTTTCAGTTCTAAGTGCTTCATTGGAATTACCTGAGTTAATCCTTCTAAAAAATCCCACAAAATGAGTATATTGTTCTCCATTGTACCAATGAGAAGACTGCAGCACAGAGAGAGCACGATCTAGCCTAAAGTCATGCAGTGGAGGGCCCCGGGGTGTGAATCAGGAAGTCTGAGTCTAGGGCCTCTGCTCTAAATGGTCTCCCCAGGAGCAGGAGGTAGGCAAGGACAATCATGCTCTCCAAGGTCAGATGGTCAAAATCTGCCCTTGGAATTGGAGGTTGGAGATGGATTAAAGTCACTGTGGGTCGTAGGGGCTCTTGCTAGCTGAGGGTGGATTGCTAGTTGGTGGGGAGTGGGACAGTAAGCCCAGGGGCACAGGGGCTGCCAGCAGAGGTAGAGGGGTGGTTCAGATTGTTACATACATACACTAAAAACATGTATTTGTTGAGAGAAGCCTCAAAACATTTGTTCTGACTACTTTTAGATTCTCTACCATTAGACAAAAATTAGTTGTTAACTAGAGAGGACTTTGAGAAACTAACACTTTATGTATGTATGTATGTATTTATTTATTTATTTTTAAGTAGGCTCCATACCCAGTGTGGAGCCCAATGCAGGGCTCAAATTCATGACCCTGAGATCAAGACCTGAGCTGAGATCCAGTAGGACACTCAACCGATTGAGTCACCCAGGCACCCCCTAACACCTTATTTTTGTGGTGGTTTTTAGAAAAGCATAACTTGAAAGATAAATATATGACACCAAAATTTTCTTAAGGATTCAAGTCATATTTTAGTTTAGTTTTCATAAAATAAATGTGAAATTCTAATTTTCTTTTAGTCTAAAGCTACTCGTTTTTTTCTCCATTTCTCCACAAATATTTCCTCTAGCATTGCCTCAATTCAATTTTTGCCCTTTTTTATTTTTGTGGACTTCTCATTGATCTCCTCCTTAAGCACCTGAAACACTTGGCCAATAATTTAATTTAACTGTCCAACTTCTGTTTCCTAACATCTCTGGTGAATTAATTAAGTGATTTATTCCTTTGGTGAATGCATGAGAAGTGCCTGCCCTAGAAGGTGCTACTTCTTTTGCCTTTTGTATTGGATTATATTCTGTGGTCTCCTTTGTTGGAGCTTGCATTAATCCACACCTATATCTATTGTTTCTTCCTCTTTTTTTTTTCCTTTTTTTTTGCTGTACGGGTATATTTAACAAAAATATATTGTGTCTGGAAATCACTTTTGCCTTTCCTTTTTGTCTCTGAAGTTCCAGAAACACCTTGAATAAAATCCTTTTATAATAGCTTCCATAATACTTGCTGCTCTTCCAGATTAACTATTGGAATTTTCTAAAAGATCCCTAGTTCAAAAATTATAGCCAAGTGAAAACATGTTTTTCATGTGGGTTATAAAGGTGCCAAGATTCTGGGCCTTGAGGCAGTGAAGCCATCATCCTCTCTCACCATAAGCAGCCCAAGCATCACCCCAGCGTGGGCAGAAGTACTTCCATTATCCTGGTGGGCCTAGAAATGACAAAGGTGAGGGACACCAGAGGCATGGAAAATTCCAGAAGAAGGCCCCAGCTCTGGCTGGTACATCCAGATTGTCTTCCGAGTGGCAGCTTCCTCTCTCTGGAGTTACCTGTTGGAGTTCTCGCTGACTTCTCTTCTGCTGAAGCTGGCCCAGTCTGGAAGCCCTCTCGGACGCTTCCGTCAGGAGCTGCAGGTGCTGTTCCTTTTGCTCCACGTCTTCCAAGAGCTTCTCCATGCTGGAGGTTTTCATTAGATCCATCTGTTGCCAGTGGCGAGCCTCCTGGGTTGCTCGGTGTTGCAACTCTCTCAGCAGTTGAGCCTGTGGCAGGAAAAGGCCAGAGGAAACGAAGGCACAGAGTCTTTCCTCTCAGCAAAAGGGGAACGAGAAGTTGCCCAATGGGATAACCACCCCCTCCAGTAGGGCCCAGGGGCACGACTCTGTGGCGTACTCCTGGGCTCAGGATCCTAGAGCCTGGCCATTCGGTTCCGGGCTAGCAGGCAGCAAGACTACCAGGACCTAGGCTGGCTCGGCGTTTACTGTAAGCCCTGAGGCAACAGTCAGGGAGGGAACAAAAGGAACAAACAGGAAAAGCCAGGCAAGTGGTAATGCCACCCGCAACACCAGGTCAAACAGTTCGGACTTTCGGTGCCCAAATGTGATGATAATATGTATGGTACTTAGCTTATTAACCACATAAGTTTATCTACCTCAAACTACATGTTCAGTGTCCCTGAGCATTAACCACGAGATAGCAGGGAAGGGTTGGCCCGTGGAGAAGGGGTAATGTAATACACGCAATGAGTGGACAAAGGAGGTTCTAATCTTGCCTCTGTTTTGACTTCCAGAATAGCTCTGGGGAAGCCAGGTTCCAGATGGCTAAAGAAGGAAAAGAGTAGTAATAATTTGGTCCTGTTCTGAAATTTTTCTCATCAGTAGCACCATAAGCACCAGAGGGTCCATCCTCAGTTATAATACTAATACTAATACTGTTTGTATGGCGATGTTACAGTTTGCATAATTATACACCATTGTTTACCTGGTGCACAATAACGGAGGATGTAGGGTCTAGAAGGAACAAATTATATGTTAGGTTTTAAATACGCCCAGCTTTCCCAGGCTCTTACTTATACTTGGCTCTTCTCTCTCTACACCTAGGGTCTTTCTGCTTCCTTCATGCTCAGAGAGTTGGCACAGTTATCAAGGGCTTAAACGTGGAAACACCCCTCTTTTGGTGCCGGCCCCTACTGAGCAGCAGTAACTTCTGAAATGAAGACTTAGTATGGGTCATCCGGAAAGGACACAAGACTCGCTTTGGGGAATAATGCTGATGGCTGGGCCACACTCCACGTGCACAAGGTTGCTGTCAATGGAAAGTGTGCTTGGAGATGGAAGGACTGTGTCAAGGGCAGAGACCTCCACCCCAAGATGCCCTCTGGGTAATAAGATCCTCAGAGAAACACACACATACACACTACACCGAAGAATGGTCTTCTGTATGGGTAGTACTTGCCCGTCTTAGCCAAATGCGAACAAAACCCAAAGCCTCTTGGCCACTCTCCTTGGTTGCTGGGCTAGAGAGGAGGGAGAAGGGAAGCTGAGGTCTGGGCAGTGGTTCTCTGGCCGCGCCCTGTGCTCGGCCACACACTGCGGAGCCCTGATGACTGCTCTGGGCAGCGATGGTGCTGCTTCCACTACCACATGCAGCTTCGCAGAGCGAGGTCAGAGAGGGGGAGGCAGAGGGCTCCTGGGGCTCAGATACCTGGTTCTCCTGCTGCTCGTGCATCCTGGTGTTGTCGGCCTGAGCCCTGGCGAGGGCCTGCCTTAGAGCCAGTAACTGTTGACGAAATAAAACCACTTCTTGTTCTGCCATTAGCTGGACGCTCAGGCACTCTTTTTTACTTTGCAGAGCTTCCTGTGAACGCCCCAAACACAGTGAGATGGGAAATAAGTTTTCTTTCCCTAGTTTTAGTTTACAAGAGTCTCTAGACCACTTCAGTTATCCATCGTTTTTTAAAGCTTCCGGTAGCAAGGAGCTCCCCCTGGTCACTTCCTCTGTGTCTTTGCTTAAGTACAGTGTGACAGATCAGAGTAAACAAAGACTTTCAGAAACGCTAAGTGAAAATGTCCAAACCACTAGTATTTTGTGCTTTGGTTTCAATTCGCCTTGAGGGAGATTTTCGATTTGTTACTTCCTTTTCCTCAGATAATCATGTTTGGAACTCAAAGATTTGCAGTATATTTTGATGAAGCCGCTTCAAGCCCTTGGTAAAGTCTCCCCCTCCATCTTTCCCCTTCCCTCGTGCTAAATTCTCTGATCTGTTCTCCCATTTGCTTCTTTGCCATTTACTTCTGGCTCTTTCCTGTTTCTCTGGAGGCTCTGACACATTGCCGCTTCCCAGGAAAACTCCCCAACGGTCAGATCCTTTAAGCGTGTTGGTCTTGCCATGGGCCACCAGGCCACCCGGGCAGCGAGGCCGCCAAGGAAGCCAGGCGCCACCCACCTCGCCGCTCCCTGCTGGGCGGGGCCTCCCTCCCCTGGCGCTCACCTTCTCTGCCCTGTTCAGCTGGCCCTGCAAGCGAGCCTGCTGCACAGCCAGCCTCCAGTGGCCCAGGCTCCTCACTTTGCACACCAGTGCAGCCAGGCTGCTGCTCTCCTGCTCCAAGGCCTGCAGCTGCTCCTGCTGAGAGAGGCTCACTTTCAGAAAAGCCTGCCCCCAACACTTTTCCCCCGGAGGGAATGGCACAAATCCTAACATCAGAACCATGCCTTCCAGAGGATGACACAATTGTGCAGGGAGCCCCAGTGCCCCTTTTAAATGCCTGATGCAATGCTTTCTCGGGGAAACCACAGACTGGAATGCATACAGAGTGAGCTAGGGGTCAGATGCTGGGATGAAATGCTGGTATCTCATTGCTAAATGAAATCACGTACTTTGGCTGGGTTTTCTTTCATTCCTTCATCAGGTCTGGCAGAACCCCATTTTGTCTTTAGGCCCTTCAAATTGTCGATCCCTTCTGTTCTTACTTCACCGATGAGCTCACACACTTTCTGGGTCAAATTAATCTGATTCTCATCCAGCTTTTCCTGCAAATTGCAGACTCAAGTTCAAGAAGGGCAGGGAAGGAAGAGTCACTTTGCCTTCTAAAACACAACTTTCAGAAATGATTTCATGTGAAAAAACCATCCACCTAATTATTCCCTCAGGTATTATCTGGAAGTCTCACTAGCAGCCCCTTGAGCATTGTCTTCAATCCCCAGGGCTTCATTATGTGGACCCTACACATCTTAGAGCCCAGGCTGTCAGCTGCCAAGGTAAGGTGAGTGGATAGAAAAGTGGAAGGTCACAGGTAGAAAACTGAACCACTCCTCTTCTCCCAAAAGGTTGCTTGAGAATTTGAACCTAGGGATTTTTGCTATCAGGTTGACTCAGCAGAATCCGACCAGATAGAACACTATAGATGAGCCACTAATGAGGAACTATATTAAAAATAGATAAAGTAGAGGAAGGAATCAGGCTGGCTACCTTCCCATTTAAGTTCCAGCAGAAATCTCATTATGAAACAGCCTGTTCTGAACGGTTTATGGATAATGGCTTGTGGTGGAAGGGCTTGATCATCGCTAAGTATAACTACAGACCCTGCATCCTTGGGTGAGGGGGGAGAGTTGGGTGTCCTCTCATCTCTGAACCACTTCCCTGGAGAGGAAAGCAGGAGGGTATTGCCCAGCCTGGCAGCCACGGCAGGATGTTTGGCTGCTGGCCACATGGCAAAATCTTTACCACCCACCTGGGACCCCAGGGTAGAACAGGGATTCTCCACTTTGTGGGGGCCTGTGGAACTGGTTTAGCCTGGGAGAAGTAGAGAATCCACTTTCTGTCTAGGAATCAGGCATAAGTTAAAAAAAAACCAAAACTTAAAATTTTCAACAATTTCATACCCGAAAGATGACTGAGCAAATCCCAGACTTCACTGGCTGTTCATCCCTCTCCTGCAGTACCAGGCCCAGTGCATTTTGGTTTTGACCCTACAATATTTGTAAGCACTTGTATTTTGTGGATCCTTCATAAGTAGGAAGGAATCTCCAATCCTCTCTGACATCCACCAAGGCAGAGCACTGGTGGAAGCTCCTCTCAATGGAACAGCTTCAGGGACCGGCTGGAATGCCCGAGGAGAGACAATGAAGTATGGACTCATTGGGGGGCTGGCTCTGGGAGCCGTCCAATAGCAAGAGAGGGGGCAGGTTTGTCCTGAAGTTCACATCTGTGGGGCAGCTGGACCAGGCTCTGTGATGGCCCATTTTAGGGCCTCTGTCTTACAGCTGCTCAGACATCATAAGAAAGCGACAGGCTTTCCAACCGCCCCCCCATCCTGTGCCGTGGGCACATGGGCACCCTATCTCTCCTCTTCCAGATGGACATCCTTCCCTGACAGGCCAGCAGCTCCCAGACACTGGATGGGAGAGATAGGCTGACAGGCATTTGACGGGTTGAAAACTTCTCTGAAAGCGAATTCAAATTCTGAATCTGCCCAGTGAGTTTTCAGGAGGAGCCTGTTGCTACCGACACTGGGGTCTGGCCTGGCTCAGGGCACTGCACTCTCCTGTTTGGATGGTGGCACTCAATAGACAAAACCGTGATATCAGCTATTGGGGGTTCAGAGGAGACACCCCCCACCCTGCCTTAACAGCAATCAGACGGCAGCAACGGCAGCAGCAGCAGAGTGAGGAAAACGGCAGCCATCTAAATTGTCTAAAACTCAGCGTCTCTCATGGCAAAATAATGACAACCCATTGCTGACCCCTCCCTGCCGCGAACGCTGAGTGCTGGAGAATTCGTGGGCCCTGTGGGCTCTTGTTACCACACACACTCTGCCGTCGATCGCCGTGTGCGCAGAGGCTGTGGAGGTCACTGAGCCTCGGCTCCCACGGGACTGCCCAGATGTCCGACACAGGTCACTTTTATGTGCACACACGTCGCAAACAAAGCTCGGACTAAGTCTTCATATTCTTCCTGGACTTCTTTTCTAATCTGCTTGTTGAGATTCAGATTCTCCTGTTCCAAATCTGTGAGTCGAGCTCTTAGAGCAGTGATTTCCATGATCATAGTATGACTGAGCTCTGCAACCTAATGGCAGAAATACTGTTTTAATGGAAGATAACTCAAGCAATCCAAACTGCCACTACAGAATAGTTCTTTGTATATCAGTGTCGGATTTGCTCTTCTACCTTGAATCTAATGAAAGAGGCGAACATCCTGTTATACAAATATGGGTGGAAGAATCTAAGGTTGGCTTAAGGGTCTCGGAACAGTGCCAGACACATAGTAGGTGTCCAATGAATGGTTGCTGAATGAATGACCCCAGAAGAGACACACTTAGGTACTTTTTAATTGGATAAAATACTTCAGCTGTCTTCGTCTCCATTTCCAAATGGGCCTTCTTTGACACCTCAACCTAAATCCCTTTTCTTTGGAATTCACTTAAGCTGGCCTCAAAAGAAAACAAACGAAGCCCCCAACCCCAAACCCAAAACTAACAACAATAAAGAAAAATCAAAGCAATAAAAAATAACAAAAACCACCAAAAAAACTAAGAATAAGAAAGCCCTTATTGCTTAAAAAGTGAAAGCACACTCCTTAGGTGTTTATGCAGTAGATCTTCATTGATGAGACTTCTGTAGGCCACTCTTGACAGGGGCACAAGAAAATGACACTAGGAAGTCCCCTGTCTGGCTACTGCTGAGAATGTGGATTTGTGAGCTGGAAAAGAGAAGCTTTTTGGTAAGAACAGACCTACCTGACCAGCGTTGTCTTCAAGTGGATCTGAACTTCTTCGGATAATATCTAATTCCTGAAGAGGAGAAAACAATGCACAACCAAACTCAAACATTTATTCTTCCAACCACGGCTCATTTCAGCACAACATGTTCCATACACCTTGTATTTGTGTTAATGGAGCTTCATTTTCAGATCCTTGGGCTCCATCTGGAGCCCAAATGCGTTTGCTGCCCCACTGGACTTTAGGATGCCTAACATGAGATCAGAAGATAGCATTAACTTCCGGGTATCCACACTGATGCCAAAGACTTGGCTACAGGGATAAACCAAACTGGGGGTGAAGCCGAGACTCATTTGATATTTGAATGCTTCATTTGATTTTTTTCTCAGACTTGTGTACTTTTCTTAGGTAAAAAGTAATATAACACTGAATCTCTAATGTAATCCACTTAAAACAGTGTGCAATCTAGGACAGGAGAAGTGACTCTTGGATCCCACCAGGGGAACCTCATTTTAAGGAAGTCTCATCAGTGAGACCCATGATGTACATCCTGAAGACAGAGTTTTCTCAAGGATCCTGGCTTCTCTGCTAGACCAGGAACAGCACAGGCACTTTGTGTTTGCTGAGGTGAGAAGGTAAGCTATGTATCTTCCCTGAGGGGCAGCTCCTTTGTCACTAATGTTTTATATTCCCCACTAGACACCTCCAAAGCACACAACCCAGTGTTGCTGGGCCATCACCCTTGCAGCTGAGAAGACCAGAGCCCAAGAAAATGAACCAGTAAGAGGAGACATTTGGGGAGTAGCTTTCACCCTCCGTTCTTACGTGAGACCACCTCCCCCACCCTCTGTTCTAGTCTCCTCTTTGGAGTGAGTCCTGGGCCTCCCTACCCATACCTTCCCCATCACACTTCTTGTCTCTCTGGGAACATACCTGCTCTTTCTGACAGAGCTTCTGCCTAGCATGCTCCAACACATGCTCATAACACATGGAGTAGCTCTCGAAGTTGCTGCGTTCTCTCGCCATCACATCACAACCCAAGGAAAGGAGGCAGGCCTCAAGGTGGTCTTTCCTGAATGTGATCTGAAAAGGAAGGGGCATTATTCACAGCAGCTCCAGCAGGACGGCCTCACGTGCCAGGGCACATGTTGCCTTAGCTCCCAGACCCTTGTCCATTTCTCTGCCACAGAGAAACATGGGCTCTGGCCTTGTGAGTCTCTCCTTCAGGTCCGCTCTTAGTATTCGCAGGGCAGGGACAAGAGTTCAAATAGAGGCCTACATGCCACATACCTAAGTATGCTAGATATTTAAGGGCTATAAGTCAAACTAATAAACTATTAATTCTCCTACTTTGAAAAAAGATCTTCAAAATAACTTGGAAGGGCAGGTTTGACTTTATCATTCTTGGATTACTCTGGGTCTATGCTGAAATGTGGTGACCTGGAGAGAGCTGGTTCACCAACTTACAGTTTACAGTATGACCCCCTTCTTTTCCCACCTCTGGCCCCACATCACACTGTGGAGGGCTCTCACGTGCACGCAAATAGACACTCCGGCTTTCTACATCCCTACACAGCTGCTCTGGACCACCCCTCAGGCTGGGGTATGCACACTGTCAGTAAGGCCCACTCTCCCTCTGGGGAGCAGGATCGGGAGAATTTCCAGGGAGAATTCCAGGATACCAGGCTCCTGAAGTGTGGTCTAGAAGGAAGGCCAGAGATCTGAGTGGGCATGTCCCCTTGGCTGTGGGTATTTCTCACCCTGTGAGGGACAGTGGGGCTGGAGATGAGCCAGAGGAGCCCTCTGAAGAAAGCATCCGGCAGGGGCCCCTCTTGCTCTGGTTGAAGACATACTGCTACTCTTTTGGCAGTCTCACTCCTTCCCTTTCTCTAAGAGATCAGGCTCCCTTTTGAAGAGGTAGCCATTAAGGAACAGAGGAAAAGTCCATCCCTCCAAGGCAAGCTAAGATTTTGGCTCTGGAGAGAAATGGGAGCCAATGTATAGAAGATAGGACAGATCTATCTGCTTAGGGCCTGCAAGTCCAGATGAGTGCTCACGTGTGTCTCTATGTGTCCATATCAGTGAGTGCATCTGTGTACATTTGTGGATGTTTGTGTGTCTGTATCCATTAGTGTATATGTATATGTATGTCTATGTCTCTGTGGATGTCTCTGTGACTGTCTGTATAGGTCTCTGTGTCTATGTGTGTCCCTGTGTGTGTATCAGTAAGTGTGTCTGTGTGTGTACCTGGGTGTCTTAGGGGGCCTACTCCAAGACCCAGCCCGCATGCATACATGAGCTTTATCTGTGATACTTCCAGGGTCAGGAGGGCTCCAGGCTAACTGGCAGTGTGCTACAGAAGTTTCTGGCCTGGGGTGGGTCCTGTGTCTCTGACTTGCTTGTCCCTGTGAGGCCCAGTATACCTCCGTGCCCCCACTGACCTCCAGAGAAAGCCCAGCCAGGCTTTACCAAGGTGAGTTACTGAGACAAACTAGCAGAGATGGCAAACAGTGATAGAACTCAGTCCCGATGGAGTGAGGGAAGTGGGTCGCTCACCACTGCTGATGGCAAGGGAAATCAGGGTGACGTTTTGGAAGGCAGACTAGCTATATCTGTGAAAAGATTTTAAAATGTTTGTGCCCTTTGGCCCAGTCATTCCTCTTCCAGAACTTCATCTTTAGGGGATAATAAAAGTGACACACAAAAATATACATAAGCAGATGTTCTTTATAGTAGCCTTTCCAACAAAAAGAGAAATGGAAATGATCAAAAGTGCCTAATAAAGGGAAACAGGTTGACTCTTTCTCACCTCTCTGTACAAATGAAATACTAGACAGCCACCAAAAATTCTGCTGTGGACATAAATGTTTATTGACAAGGAAACGTGTTGATAACATGTACTCAAGTGAAAATAAGTACACTATAATAAAAGCGCATATAGAGTGATCTAATTTGGTTTTAAAAAGTTAACGAATAAAAAAACGATAAATAAAGTTTGGAAGGAAATATGCCAACATAATAATAGTAGTTGTCAGTGAGGGTAAGCTAATGAGTGTATTTTCTAATATAATCATAATATGTATACACAATTAAGATAATTATATATGAAAATGTACATGTAAATAAAATGTATACCCTAATGAAAAGATAGTAAAGCTTTTGTAAAGATCATCAGCCACAGCAGCTTGGGTGCATTGAAGAGATGCAGAATGGAGACCGTAGATGAAACCCTCTGCTCATGGGGGATTTCATGAATGGGAGCCAGGCAGTCAGGGCAGGGTACTCAGCCTCCCTCCCGCATCTAGGACCTCCTCAAGGGGCCCCTTCAGGGGGGTGGGAGTGAGGGCAATCCACCCTGCTCTGGAAAGTGAGCAGTAGGACAGCCAGATTTAGCTTCTGACATCAAGGCAAGGGGAACCAAGATTCCATCCCCTGGCCCTTGACTTCTTAATGGTGACAGGGTTGAGGCTACATAAATTTAGTAATGACAAAGGAAACACTTCCCAGACTGAATATGATGAAAGCCTGAAACATTGAGGAGTTGTGAGACCATATTCAAGGCCATCGGGGTGTGGCTGGTGACCCTGTCCAGGTGGGCTGGGCCCAGTGCTTGGAATCGGCCACAGGGACTCACCCCTCACTGTCCTGGACAGCAGTCTCTGGACCTGAGCGTACCCATAAGGCCTCCAGCAACTTTTTGGCAGGACCAACACTTCTCAAACTAATATCACAATAGCCATCATAGCAGATAGCCAACAAACAGAAATGCAGATTTGAACATCAGTGGCCTTCTACCATCCCCTCTTAGCCAGTGTAATGCACCTCTGGGTGAGTCTGTGTTACACCAGAGGTGTAGGAATGGCCAGGACCCCCTTGAGCATCTCCAGAGGCCAGAGAAATTGTATTTTGTTACTGTGTTTCTTAAAAGCTCTTCTGCAACCTACCCTTGCCTTCCTAGGTCACTAAATGTCGGCTCTGTCTCAAAGTGTAGCATGAAGTAGGTTCATCTTCCAACTTCCCCTTCAGGGCAGGTCCTTGGGTTCCATAAAACCACAGAGTGAAGACCATGCCCTCCCATGGGCTGATTCCTTCACCAACAGTTAAACCTGAACTGTGATGAATGGCACTGGCTGGAAAATCACCAGATTCTTCTGGAGAGCCAGACTGGGGTGAAGCCTGGCAGGTGCCAGGCCTTGTTATGGCAAAAGTCTGGCTTTGCTGGGAGCAAATTGCTCTTCTGTGGTTTGTTTCATCTTGGAGCCCTTCATAATTGGTCTAATATCAGGCATGCACAAGGTGTTTTGATGATGTTTCTAAAACCCACTTCTGCTGACAAAATGCTTCAGTGACTTCCCACTGACTCTGGGATGAAATCCTGACTCCTAAGGATTGCCTACAAGGCTGTTCAGCAACCGGTCCTGTCCACCTTTTCAATGTCCTCCTCTGAACTCTGCTATACTCCCTTCTTAAATTTCTCTACCTTCCTTCCCCAGCCCCTCTTCATCTGGCTAACTCCCATTTGTGCTTTAAGACTTGGCCCAGACAACACCTCCTCCAGGAAGTCTTCCCTGACTATTTCTTCCCTACCCCCTAGGTGGGTTGTATCTCCTGTGTATGCCTCTCTCAAAGCATTTAATGTAAAGTACCTTTTCCTGACACTTGTGGGTCACCTGATTCCATAAGCTCTTTGAGGGCAAGAACTGTACCTTTTGCCTTTAATCTAATAAAGTGCCTAGAAAAAAAAAATAGGAGATCTATAAACACTGGCTAAATGAATGAATGACTTTTGGCATATGAATGGAAATGGTTCTGGAATCCGCACAATAGACTATTATAGTTCTGATTCGCAATAAAGGTCAGTCTCTAACTTTAGGTCAGTGTGTTTGGTATAAAATTTGGGCAAGATGTTAGAACTGATTGTGAAAGGCTGGTTTTTTTAGAATTTGGAGAAGGAAGAAAAGATCACTAGAGGCCAATATGGATTCAAGAAAAATCAGGTCAGATGAACCTTTTCCTCAGGAAATAGAGTGCATGCGGTGTACCTGGATTTCAGCAGGGTATCTGGAAAGGTTCCTCATGATGTCCTTGTGGACCAATGGAGAACATAGACTGGGCAAGAGTACAACGGATGGGCGGCTGGCCACAGAAAGACTGTGCCCAGAGAGTGGGGTCAGCCTGAAGGAGACCCTAGGGGGGTAGCACAGGGCTTGGGGCCTGTCCTGGCATACATTGTCAGTAATAAATTGAATGAGGAGACCGAGGGCAGGCTGACATGAACCTGGGAGGGAGAGAGAGTGTGCTGGATGATAAAAATCCAGATTTTTAGGGATTTCAAGAAGTTCAGAGTGGACTAAATTGAGTAAGAAAAAGGCTAATAATATGGCAGCAGCAGGATGCCTGGGCTTCAGGTGACTGTTAGCCTCATGAGTCATCTGTGAAGCAGCTGCCAATACCCAGCACACTCATGGGCATTAATCAAAGCAGATCACACAGACAAGTACACTTTCCACTGGTCAGACGATCTTGCATTTAGACGGGACTGATCAGGATGGGAGGGCTGCTCATATAAGGTGATTGAAGGACATGAAAGAGGTTTAGTCTGAAGAAGAGAAGGCTGGGCTCGGGTCCTCTGCACAGAGGCGCCCAGGTGAGGGAGGAGCCCAGCGCCTGCTCCCTTTGCCAGTTCATGTGCCCTGGCTTGGGCCGCACCCATCTGGAGGAAGGTGTAACAATTTGTAACTCACCACCCAGAGGGGCACTCGTTTGGGTTTGTCCCATCAGAGCAGGCCCTTCGTTGTAATTTTACCGAGGCTTCACACATGCTAGCAATGGTGCTTAATTGAGTTTCTCGGACTGACCTGCCTTTGGATACCTAAAGTCTTGTTGTAAGGGGTCAGAACCATGACCTGTGATGTCCCAGGGACAGAACTAGGATCCATGATGGAGATGGTGGGGAGGCCAAAGCCAACTCAGTAAGAGCTGCTTAAAACAAGAGCTACCAGGAATGGCTGGGGAGGGCAGGTGGGCTTGCAAGAGAGTGAGTTCCCTGTCATTGCAGATGATCCAGAAGAGGCTAGAGGTCCACCAGGCATAGAGTTTGGAGGGATCTAACGTCCTGGTGTCCTCTGATTCCAAGACACTGGCAGGCAGTCAACAACCTCTTCAGTGTACCTTGGGTTTCAGTTATACCTAATACGGGTTTGCCCTAATATCCACATTTCTTTCCTAGACAATCCCATCTTCCGTGTTGGAGTAAAGCATATACATAGGGGTTGAGCATATCTTGAGCCACAGACTTTTTGTTTGTTTTTATTATGGTAAAATATACATCACATAACATTTGCCATTGAAACCTTTTTTTTTTTTTTAAGTAATCTCCACACTCAAGGTGGGGCTCAAATTCTTGACTCCGAGATTCAGAGTCACATGCTCTACCAACTGAGTCAGCCAGGCGCCACCATTTAGACAATTTTTAAGTGTAAACTTCAGTGGTATTAAGTACATTCACACTGTTGTGCAATCTCTAGGACTCTTTGCATCTTGCACAACTGAGACACTTGTTCCTACTAAACACCAACTCCCCATCCCCCTCCCCCCAGCTCCTAACAACCTCCATTCTACTTTCTGTCTCTATGAATTTGACTATTGTGGGTACTTCACAGAAGCGGAATCATGTAGCATTTATGCTTTTGTGACTGGCCTTTTTCACTGAGCATAAGGTCTTTAAACTTCATCCATGATGAAGCACATGTCAGAATTTCTTTCCTTTTTTTAAGGAGAGCCACCAAATTTTTTGCTTCAAACATATTTCTAAGCATGCCCTACCCTAATCACTCTGGTGAGAACCTCTGAGCTGCAGGGACCAAAAGGAACCACTTCACCTCCTCATCAGAATACACAGGACCACATTTGGGTGTAATTGAAAGCTTAAATGAAATATGTGTAAATCATCAAGCTCTGAGGAAAAAGTGTCCCCAGAAAGCTAGTGAATTCTCTACCTCGTAATTAGAAACTGAAGTGTTTATTATAAAATTATGGGGAATATTTGAAGAGCTTAAAAAAATAAAAGTTTGACGGAAATATTGTTTTAAAAAATTAAGCATATTTTGTTAAATTGGGTTTAAAAAAAAATGGTTGAATTTCAAAGGCAACTGGATTCATATCTACCTAATGTACTTATGCTTCATTTGTTAATGATCTTGAAAGCTCTGCTATGGCCATAGAGCCACATACACTCTCTCTCTCTCTTTTTTTAAAGATTTTTTTTATTTATTTGACAGAGAGAGAGACATAGCAAGAGAGGGAACACAAGCATGGGGGAGTGGGAGAGGGAAAAGCAGGCTTCCCGCCAAGCAGGGAGCCCGATGTGGGGTTCGATCCCAGGACCCTGGGATCATGACCTGAGCCGAAGGCAGATGCTTAACAACTGAGCCACCCAGGTGCCGTGCCACATACACTCTCTTATTCTGCCTTTTCAGCACTGTCTAGAAATAGTCAAGTTGAAAACTCCAAGGACTGTGTATATGTGTATTGTATGTATTAAATACATATTATTGTTGTTATATATATATTATATACAGTTATGGATTCAAATATATATATAAACACAAAATATTGTTGATACTGATTTCCTTTGTGGGGAGAGAACTGGGGATGGTACAGTGAAGGAGGGGTGGAAATGTTACCTTTCTGATATATACATATTTTTTGTATTATATATTTAAAAAATGTTTTCTAGGTAGTGGAATTATAGGCTATTTTAGTTTCTCTCTTCTAAATTTTCTATATTAAAAAACTAACACAGGGCGTGCCTGGGAGGTGTAGTCAGTTAATCATCCAACTCTTGATTTCTGCTCAGGTCGTGATCTCAGGGTCGTGAAACAGAGCCCCATGTTGGGCTCTGCGCTGGGCATGGAGTCTGCTTGGGATTCTCTCTCTCCCTCTCCACCTCTCTTCCACCCCTCACTGGCATGCGTGCGTATGCACACGTGCACTCTCTCTTTCTCTCTCAAAAAAATTTTTAAAAAATAATAAAATAGGGGGTGCCTGGGTGGCTCAGTCAGTTAGGCGTCTGCCTTCGGCTCAGGTCATGATCCCAGGGTCCTGGGATCGAGCCCTGCGTTGGGCTCCCTGTTCAGCGGAGAGCCTGTTTCTCCCTCTCCTTCTGCCTCCTGCTCTGCCTACGTGTGCTCTCTCTCTCTCTGTCAGATAAATAAATAAAACTCTTTAAAAAAAATAATAAAATAAAAAAATAAAAAATCAACACAGGAAATGTTGCTAAAAACAACTTATTCATCAACAAACTCCAAGGTTACTTTAAAAAACTGGCCAAATCTGAAATTAGCCAACATGCATATTCTAATTTCTCTCCCATAATTTATTAGAAATCAATCTTTTTCCAAAATTAAAATGATAACAAGTGCTTACTACTTTGAGTTAAGCCTCAGAATTCATATCTTTATTCTAAGGGAGTAAGGGAAGCATTAGGAAATGCGTTAAAGGGAAAGTCTTCCTTGTTTGGGTTTCTGTTACAAAAAAACACACTCTAAAATGACTAACTTTCAATACATACCTCTAGTCCACCATCCTGGTAATTTTCCATTAATCTCTGTTTAAAATTTTCAACTATCTGTGGTCTGCTAACAGAAAAGTTTTCTTTCATGACATGGTGCTTCCAAAGGTCTAGGGGGAGAAACACACCAATGCTAGTGTCATGAAACATTAAACAACAATTAATGGCTACTCTCTGAGACATAACACTGGACACAAGAAACTGGTATTTCCAAATACACAAAAACTAATGGGTGAGGCAGGGGCAGGGGAGGAGTTGGTTGAGGTCACAGAATCCTCCAGAACATAGGAATAAGGAAGATCTCTAACAAGATTCCTAATGAAAAGATTTGGAAAAGTACCTCTGAAGCCCAGTGAACAATATTCTGTTATCATAACTAAAAATCCTGAATCAAATGTTATTGTTGATCCAACATATCTATTTTCATTAAGTCCCTACATATATCTGAACAATTATTTTGGCCTAACACAACTAACAGAAATAAATGAAGAGCGGGGCGCCTGGGTGGCTCAGTCATTAAGCATCTGCCTTCAGCTCAGGTCATGATCCCAGGTCCTGGGATCAAGCCCCTCATTGGGCTTCCTGCTCAGTGGGAAGCCTGCTTCTCCCTCTCCCACTCCCCCTGCTTGAACACTCCCCTCTCTCGCTGTCTCTCTCTCTCTCAAATAAATAAATAAAATCTTAAAAAAGAAAGAAAGAAATGAAGAGCTATTATATTTATAGTCATAGACTAGAAATGTTGAGAGCTGACAGACTATGGATTGAAGTAGCAACAGGCTGACATATGAGATGAGGCATATACACAGTTATTCAGAGTAACATTGTTTAGGACAGCAGCAGCTTGGAAGCAACACATAAACTGTGGTATATCCTTCCAATGGAATAGTATGCAGCTATAAAAAAGAACCTTCTCCATGTATTGATATGGAAAGAACCAGAGTTTATTATGTGAAAAACGCCAGGTGAGGAACAGTGAATATAAAGATATTCTCATCTTTCATAAGAAAGATGTGATAAATATAATAAAGGAGGAGCTATCCCTCAAGCCTATTCAAGATTATCACTCCAGAAATATAGCATTCTCCAGTATCACTTCTCCCCTCTTTCCTCGGTCTTTCACAATATCACACATTATTTCTCCCACTTCATAAAAATCCGTCTCTTAACCCCACTTCCCCTGTCAGCTATTGCTTCATTCCTTTGCTCCCCCCCCTTTTTTTTTTGCAAAACTCTCAGAAAGAAAGGCCTATCTTTACTGTCTGTGACTTCTCTCAAAATCCTTCTTAAGCCTACTGACCTGCTTTTTCCCCCACAGCTTCCCTGAAACTGATTTTGTATTAAGTACCAGTGACCTCAACATGACTAAAAACATTCATTTTACTCGACTACCAGAAGCATGTCACATAATTTGTCACATTCCTCCTGCTGAGAAACTTTCATCACTAGACATTGGGATACCACTCTGTCCTAGTTTTCTTCTTGCTGTTTGTTCCTTCTAGGTCCCTTTTGCTGGTTCTCCTTTTCCTCTCCCCACCTCCAGCTCTTAACATTAAGTGTCCTCAGACTCAGCCCTTGGTTCACCTCCTTTTTTTCTATCTACATTCACTCCCTTGGCTATCTCATTTAGTCTTATGGCTAAACATCATCCATATGCTCACAACCTTCAAATTTAGATCCAATAGTCACCTGGCATCTCTTCTTGGATGTCTAAAAGGCATTTTAAATGTCATTTGGGCATAAATAAATTCTTGATCTTCCCTCCCTAACTTGCCATCTCAGCTGATGGCAATTCTATTTTCCCAGTTTCTCGGGTCAAAAATCTTGGAGTTATCATGGACTCTTCTCTTTCTCTCACACCCAATACACAATCCATTAGTGGTTACTTCAATAATATGCCTTGAATCTGACCATGTAATACTTCCACTGCTCCCAACCTTGTTTGAGCCACCATCTCCCCATGCTCAGATTATTACAGTAGCCTCCAAAGTAGCCTCTCCCTTCTTCCACCCTTTTTCCTTTACAGTCCATTCTCAAACAGCAGCCAGAGAGATTCCATTAAAATATGTCAGATCAGGAGCACCTGGGTGGCTCAATTGGTTAAGCATAGGACTCTTAATTTTGGCTCAGGTCATGATCTCAGGGTTGTGAGATCTAGCCCCGAGTTGGGCTCCATGGTCAGCAGGGAGTCTGCTTGAGATTCTCTCTCCCCCCTTCCCTCTGCCCCTCTCCCCCTCAAATGAATAAATACATCTTTTAGAATAAAAATAAAATAAAATAAAATAAAATAAAATAAAATAAAATAAAATATGTCAGATCATGTCACTCAAAATCTGGGACAGGCTCCCCATTACGTTCAGAGTAAACACTATGAGTAGGCCCTAAGTGATCCGTCCTCTTTTCACTCTTCCTCTCTGGTTTCATTTCCTACTACTCTCCCTCACTCTCTCCATTCCAGCCACACTTGGATCTTTCTGTTCCATAAACATGGTAGGTACTTAGGTCCTCTGTGTGGGCTGTTCTTCTGGATGGGCTGTTCTTTTGTCTGTTTATCTGTCTGCCCAGATACCCACATAGTATCTAACTCCCTCATCACCTTCAAACTTTGCTCAATGTGTCACTTTCTCCTGACCACCCTATTTAAAATTGCAATGTGCCTGCTTCAAAATTCCACACCACCATCTTCCTTACTCCATTATTTTCTTATTTCTTCTGTTTATTGCTTATTATCTGCCTATCCCCTTCTAGATGATAAAATCCACAAGAGTAAGGAGTTTTGCTCCATGAAAGTAAGGATGTATCCCCCAAACAGGGCCTAAAATATAGTAGTATGGCACATACTAGGTGCTCAGTAAACAGATATTGGATAAAATAATGAATTAGTATATGCATAAAGAAGCATTGATAGTATATATTTAAAAAACTAACCAAAATGTTTACATGGGGTGATAAAAGGGGGTCAGTAGTGGCAACGAGATCTCTAAACACATATATTTTTATATTGTTTTGAGTTTTGAATCAGGTAAATGTATTAGCTGTTAAAAAAATGAAAACTTAATATGACAGTGCTGGAGCTGTGTAAATAGATCAACACTCTTTAACTTCCATATGGGAGAGCAAGTTGTGTATGTGTATGTTTAATTATGTTGGGTAGGGTCTACTTCCTTGTGCATGGCCCCAGGGGAGTCTGGAAACAAAGAGAAACCTATGGAGTCAGAGGTAGAAGCCAAGCCCTGCCCCACTCCCTTTTCTGTTGTGGGGGTGCTGGCCACACCAAGAGTACACACAGGGCTACTCCCTGTCCCCAGCTGTTTCTAATTTCAGATGTGATTTCCTACTCATACTTTCATTTTTTCTGACAGGAGACGTGGTGCACAAAAGGGGAAGCATCCAGCACAATCCTCTCAGAAATGTGGCTTTGACAGAGCAGGAGCCCCTTGCAATTATCTTATTTATTGGGTGGTCCTGATTTTGAAAATTCTGGGGTTCCAGAATTCCACAGTTGGATACTTTCCATCATAAACAGAAATCTGACTTTGTTTTTCCTTTAGGATAATAAAGGTAAGTAGACATAATACCACTGTCCTGGCATAGTTGACGTGGAAAATCCAATAGAGTTAATGTGCCTAGAAGTTCACACTTCTTAAGACGTTTAAGACTTTTTGTTAAGTCTAAGCTTTGACAAAACAGAGCTCATGTATCTTTCAGAAAATTTTCAGACAAGAAATTGGATACTTTTTCCAGGGTACATTAGCGGTAGGTCTCTGGCTCACAGAAAAGCCTAGTGAGGGACCACATCTGCCAAACACTTCTGGTTTGGGGGCCATCACCTGGCAAATGCCCACAGGGGTGGTTTTAGGGTTTAGCTCTGGGCTCAGCTGAAGGGGACGTATTTTTTTTTTTTTTCAGCTGAAGGGGAAGTATTAAGTATTTTACCAAAGTGCTGGGAAATCTTCCCACCATACTTCTTCCTCATGAGTTCAAGTTCAAACATGCAAGTACTTCTGTAGGCAGGAGTAAGGGGAAGCCAGGGAGAGTTGAATTCATCCAAGAGAAGTAATTCCTGGCCAAGTGGAGTTTGTGGTCTCCAAATGGGTCTCATTTTCAGTGTGTGTGTGTGTGTGTGTGTGTGTGTGTGTGTGTGTGTGGTCATGGCGTCTTTGAGCTGAAGCAGTTTTAGACGGCAGCATGGAGGTGGGAAGGAGACAGCACACTGGAGGTTAAATTAGCGTTTTGTTCTTTCCTCTCCCTCTCTTCCCAGGTCCTTTGACTGGAGGAAACTTTGACTTCCTGGTGGCCAAACCACTTCCCCTCACTCCCTCTATGAACACTCTCCCTACCCTCTAGTCAGCCTCCTCCCTCTAGGAAAGGCATTTTGGTTTCATAGCATTTCACTTCTCTAACACAACCACTAGCCTCTGCCTAAGTGGCTCCTGGGTCCTGAGCTGAGCAGAACTGAAACTTGAAGGCATCCAACTGCCAACTAACATTCTCCTGACCAGCCAGGGGTCCCCAGAAGGTGGGTAGGTTGGAACCTTATTGCTTCAAGCATATGTATGTATGTATGTATGTATTTTCTACTCCTGTGTTTCTCAAACTGCTCCCCAGAACACTAGTCCCTTGAGTGGATGATAGATACTCATGAGGGGAGAAAAGTGTTCTGTGGTTAAATAAATTTAAAGAACATTACAGTGGGTGGGGGGATGGGGTAATTGGGTGATGGGCATTAAGGAGGACACTTGATGTAATGAGCCCTGGGTGTTATATGTAACTGATGAATCACTAAACTCTACCCTGAACCTAATAATACACTATACATTAACTGACTTTGAATTTAAATAAAAAATTTTTAAAAAATAAAGAATATTTCATACACTCTCTTTTGGAACTTTATAGTGCACACTATTATAGTAAAGGCTCTGAGAAGGCCTGGAGCAAAGAAACCTTTTTAACATTATTTACCACAAGTTTCCCAAACTTGTTTTGGCAAAAAACAAATAAACAAAAGCTTCCCCCTGCCCCTCAACCCTTGCAAAACACAGTAGAAGTCCTTTCCTTGCAATCAAGACTAAGAGTTGGTTTGTTAATCAAAAGAAGTCTGTTAAACCAGAGAATGCTTTAAAAAAAATGACTTGTGGTATCTTAAACATTTTATTTAACTTAAAAATATATAAACATTTGCCAATTTTCTAACATAGAACTTAGGCCTTTTCTTTGTATGCATCCACTCATTGGAGTTCTGTACTATCTTTTTTCTAGAAACCATAACACATTGTGTGGTTTTCTAGTATGTGGTTTTATTGGTTTGCTTGTTTCTTTTTATGGAAAGAAAACTAGAAGACAATGGAACAATCCAAATGTATCATCTTTTTAGGGCAGTTTTAAGTTCATAGAAAAATTGAGCAGATAGTACAGAGAGTTCCCACATATTCCCTGCCCTCTCTACCGCCAACACACAGCCTCCCCAACTATCAACAACCTACACCAGTGTGGTGTGTCTGTTACAACTGATGAGCATACACTAACATGTCATTATCACCCAAAGTCCATAGTTAACATTACGGTTCACTCTTGGTGAAACTATGGGTTTGATGAATGTATAATTGGCATCTCTCCACTATTATACTATCATACAGAATAGCTTCGCTACCTAAAAAATCCTCTGTATTCTGCCTGTTCATCCTTCTTTCCCCTCTAAACCCTTGGCAACCACTGATCTTTTTGCTGTCTCCATTGTTCTGCCTTTTCTTGAAAGTCATATATTTGGAATCATACAATATGTAGTCTTTTCAGGTTGGTTTCTTTTGCTTCGGTAATAGACATTTTTATCCATGTCTTTTCATGGTTGGATAGCTCATTTCTTTTCAGCATTAAATATTATTCCATTGACTGGATGTACCACAGTTTATCCATTTCAATCTCTTTTTGTACTCCTATGTCATTAGTTTAAACAATACTTAATTAAATTACTCAAACACAATGATAAGCAAAACTGGCATGAACAGGTTTGGAGCAAACAATGATCAATGATACTAGGTAAACATAGGTAACCCAAAGACTGTGATCAGTGAGTATTTTGCCAGCTTGTGTTACCAAGGGAATGGAAAGCATCAGTTAGCCTGTGAGTCTGTTAGTACAGGGTGATGGAGAGAACCACTGCACTAACATGTTAAGAAACTGGTGTTCTAGGGCACACTGCTGGGAATGCTGGCCTTGACCATGCTCTCCTAAGTGTTTGGATTATGCTTCCCTCAAGCAAAACATTTTTGTCCACTCACTATTAACATGTGTATATTTCTGTATTTCTAACTACCTATAATACTATCACTGGCTAATATTGTACAGCATGATATGCTTAGGGTGAAGCTCATCAACAATGAGAATGGGCAATATATGTTAAGAAAAAAAAAGAAGAAGAAGAAGGTAGCGGGAGGGGAAGAATGAAGCGGGGGAAATCGGAGGGGTAGACGAACCATGAGAGACGATGGACTCTGAAAAACAAACAGGGTTCTAGAGGGGAGGGAGGTGGGAGGATGGGTTAGCCTGGTGGTGGGTATTGAGGAGGGTACATTCTGCATGGAGCACTGGGTGTTATGCACAAACAATGAATCATGGAACACTTCATCTAAAACTAATGATGTAATGTATGGGGATTAACATAAGAATAAAAAAATTATAATTTACACCTCCCCAAAAAAGAATTCCGTAATAGTAAAAAAAAAAAAAAAAACAACAATGAGAATGGATCTCAATCTACATTCCTAAGAGTTTTCTTGACCTTTTAAATTTTTTTGTCTGACTTCTTTTCAGATGTGGTTATCTTTTTAACCTCATAATGTGGCTGACAATAAGCATGTACCAGGATTAGAAGTGTCTCCACTAATTCTTAGTGCTTGCTTGCGGATTGCCTCAAAGTGGTCATTTCGGGACACCTCAGTGTAGAGTGTGACATGTGACTTCTTATATATGGATTTAATCTATTTAGAAGCTCTAATATTTTCTTCCCACACCCCTGAGATATAGGCACTCCACTCTGGAGATTGCTGACCTTATAAATGCTCAGAGAAATTGAGAAAGTCAATTAAGAATTACTTCAATGCCAAAATGTCAAATATGGGAAATAGCAGAGACTTTTTGAATCCATGGAGCCCAACTCTCTGCTAAGCCAAGCCCTGAGACTTAACAAGGATGTCTGGAGCAAATTTTTAAAGTTCTCAGGGGAGCACCAGTTCAGTTCCGACAAACTAGCACTGGATCAGGTGTGGCTGCCACATTTTCAGATGGTCACTGATAAATTGGAAACCCCTTCAGAAGTTATACAAGAAGATGAAGCTCCGGGCGCCTGGGTGGCTCAGTTGGTTAAGCGACTGCCTTCGGCTCAGGCAGGTCATGATCCTGGAGTCCCAGGATCGAGTCCCACATCGGGCTCCCTGCTCAGCAGGGAGTCTGCTTCTCCCTCTGACCCTCCTCCCTCTCATGCTGTCTCTCATTCTCTCTCTCGCAAATAAATAAAATCTTAAAAAATAAAAATAAAAAAAATTTAAAAAAAAGATGAAGCTCCAAGACAAGGTGGGAAGGAGGGAGGAGACGGAGAAGTATTGGAGAGTTTCTTTCTGGCTGGTAATAAATGTAGACACCAGAGTTGGCCAACAGGGACAGAGAAGACCCTGAGGGAAGGACAAGAGCTTGGGATGTCCTCTGGGTCTCAATACTCTCCATTCCCAACTCCCTCTTTAGAAACTCCTAGTGCCAAGCTAACCTTGGCCACAAAAGGTGGTCTCTGCATGATAAAGCAGCCCCTGTTGGAAGCCCCATCCACTATGGTGGCTTCTTGCTGCTGAGATGCACAGTAGGTGGGTGGGGATTCCAAGGTTTTATTGCCTTCTTTGAAGGTTCCCGGTCCACAGGTCTCAGAAAGACTATACTGAAGAAATGTCTATAAAAGCACCCCTGGCACACAGCGGGGACTCCATCACTTGCCCTGGGGTAACTCACTATAGGAGGACACCCACATTGAGTCATGCTTAACAGACCAAAAACAAAACCAACAATAACAAAACACCTTCACTATTGGCATTTGTTTTAAAAGTCATGAGTATAGAATCTGAACAAGAGCTTAGAATTGGCCAGTATACTCTAGCCAAAGTAAGTTTTGGTAATATCAACCTTACCACCATTAACAATAACTCTACCCCTCCCCTCTGCCTGACTCCCACCAGCCTCTTACTGACGGCTCCCTCCAAGCACAGCTGACGAGCACCCTGCACCAGGGGACACACAGCAGAACCTCAAAACAAAAATGCTTCCTCCCTTCCCCCACCATCCTGGTGTCTCATTAAACCACAGCCTGAAACATGCAGATGGTTGCACCTGCTGCATGCCTGTGGATTTTCTCCCAAGACTTGAAGGGAGCCACCTGGATGCAGCAAACACAGCACAGACAACAAGTGCTTTGTGTCTTGTTAAATGCTCTGTAATTGAAGTTCAACCTCACTTAGCTCTCTGGTGACATTTAGCTCTCTGGTGAGAAGTGGCTTGCCCTCTCACTGCATAGCCTTTTCCCAAAGCCCTGTTTATAGAATTCAGTTACTCAAAGCACTGAGAAAAATGACAATATCTTAGGTGAGGATGTAGATTATTAATGCACATTACAATATCTGTGGACTTTGTCTCAAAAGGAAAATCTAATTTAGTTTCCTAGTCAAACAACTTCTCCGTCATTTAAAGGCTATGGATTTTTCCTACAGAATTAGTAGGAGTCAGGAGTAGACACTGAAGTTCAGACAGGACCAGCTACATAATCTATGACACCCTGGGCAAAATAAAAATGCAGGGCTTCTTATTCAAAAAGTAGAGGAAAAAAGCACTACTATAGGTACTAAAAGATAGTGTTTTCTTTCTTCTGCAGTCTCTTTCTTGACCTGTCATGGTGTTTTTATTCATTTTTAATGTTGTACTCCTCAGGCACAGGAATGCTCGCAAGGCAAGTGCGACCCTCCCAGGCACCCAGGGGCTCCACCCTGTGACCGGAAGCATGAGTGTATATGCAGCTGCTGGGCAGCAGCCCCATGTCCTGGCCAGGGGCAGAGAAGTTGAGCCAGGCAGCTTTCCTTCCCATGGGCCCACTGTGGACAGGCAAGCCCAAGGATATTGTAACCTCCATCCTGGGATATCGTACAAATCTAAGGATAGGCAATAGGCTTGCTCCCACTGAGTCACCCATCAGATGTACCATGATGTTGCCAGACTAGGGTCCTTGAGATACTACTAGGTACACATATTCTGATCTTCCTCTTGCTCAGGCCCCCAGTGGAGAGGACGGTGGCAGCAATTGCTAGGTGGGGATGCTGAGGGGAAGGTTAGGGGTTCCTAGGGTGCCAGAGAGCAGATGAGTAGGCAGCTGAGAACCCCTCCTGGCAAGGCAGGGAGGCAGTAAGAAGTGGAACTGTGTGTAAGGCAAAGCTCCAAGTCCTTGGTGCATGCTCCATGGACTCACTGAATTCCAGTTACAAAACACAAATTCTAAGTTAAAATCAAGAGTTTCAAGATGGTACCCATAGAGCATTAAACCCCAAGTACTCCTGGGTCCTATGTAAGTGCACTGATCACATGTCCGTGAAGTGAGCCTGACTTTAGACTTCAGATGAAAGGAAATAATTTTGATTGCTTTCCCACCCCAATACATGTATTTGTAAGATTTTGACATATATGTCATACATATGTATATATATATATATATACACTTAAATATATTACAAATAAGAAAAGCTTATGTGTTTTACCCATTTTAACTTTATTTCAGTTATGAGTTAACTAGCAGAGTTGAGACTGAACTTAACAAATGTTTTCTATTTAAAAGACTTTAAGTAGAAGGAAATATATCAAAGTGTTAATAGTTCTCTCTAAGCCAAGGTGTTAAAAAGTAATTTTTATATCATTTTCTGGACATTGTGATACTTTTTTTACAATGAAAATGATACATGGATTGCTTTTATAATTAGGAAAAAAAATAAATGCTGTTTTGTGAAGTAATAAAATAAACATACTTTACCTGTAGGGAGAGCACCCTGCTCCTTGGCTTTTTCTGATACTGCTAGTGCTCTCTCTCTGTTAACTTTTCTTAATACTTCTTGGATCAGATGAATTTCAAGATTTTCCAGAAGTTTCTGAAGCTAGAGTAAGAGGTTTGAGAGTCACTTTCCACATTCAGCTTATACTCTGAGCTTCTAAGTCAAATTCCTGCAGAAGGGTCTGGGGCTAGGTCCTGTCCTTCAGCTACTCTCTCTCAGGGAAGAAGGAAGGGTTCCTTTCTTGGGTTTCCAAGTGCTTCTGCAAGGGTAGATATACCTCTCTGGAGACCAACATCTTTTCTTCCTGGCCCACATCCCAGTTGATAAAATATAACCCTTTTTTACCAAGTCGTGATAAATTGCAAAGTGCTCAATGTCTGAGGTGATCTCATGTGTTTTGGGGATCTCTTAAATGTGGTCAGGAATTTCATGAGATGTCATTACAAGAGGAACGCCTGGGCCTGAAACTCAATTTAGATATCAAGGAGGATTTCATGAGAAGATTTAAAATTCCAAACATGACCAGGAGAAAACTCTCCCAATAACCATGAGCCCTTACTTTACCCATTATGCTTGTAGAACCCATGTTTCTCCCTGTCACAGGACCCCAGGTACAAGAGAGAACCAGGGCTCAGAAGGGTAAGCAATGGGCTTGGGACTGGGGTGTGTGTGTGTGTTGTGGGGGTGGGGGGCAGATTGCCACCGAATTCTTGATCTTCAGGGGACGAGAATCTGTCCATTGACACTCAGCTAGAAGTTTTGCTTTCCTGTTACAGTGACGAGGAGAACACAGCCTTGCCTGTTACAGACACAAGGGAACACAGCCATGTGGAGACTCTGTCCCAGGACCAAGGTGAACAAACAGTTGGAAAAACAACCTCTCACATCTAGCACACCAAATGGACTAGTGTATAAATCATGTTGTCTTATTCTCAGAAAAACAATCACAGGAGCTATTTTGAATAATCCATTTTCATGGGTGTGTGTGTGTTGGAGGGAGTGGATAACTGCGTGCTAGATTTTAAGTTTAAGATGTTAGTATGTTCTCTATCATAGTCTCTTTTTTTTGTGGTAGTCTACCTTAATTAGAGGAAAATCAAAATACGAAGATCTAGACTTACAAAATGGAGGTATTAGGGATAGTTATTTGCATAATCAAAGCTCTACGTGCTTTTAAATACTTAGTTCCCTCTGAGTCTGTTCAATGATTTACATACCTTCAATCTCCACTTAATGCCTTAGAAAAAAATGCCACTTGGGTGTACCTGTAGTTTTACATGCTTATGCCATAAAGCAAAATTTCAAAGTCACATTCAAAATAGTTCCTGCATACCTGTTCAGTTTTTATTTCAATTTCTGAAGCTCCTTTGGGGGGAAGAATAGACCGGCTACTTATTATAATACCTTCGAATTCATCTTCTTTCCCCATCCGCCTAGCTATAGCTTTCATGCTGGGGTAAAGAATGTCAGTTCTATTGAAGAGAGACAGAAATTAGCAAACAAACATATTTTTTTCCTATTCAGATTCTCTGACAATCATTTTCATTCACGTTCTGTTTTCTGTCATCACGTATAAACCTCCCAACCCATTACAGTCACTCACATTGATATCTAATTTTACCACAGTTGCCACTCCCTTAGTCAATATTAAGTCCTGAGACCTTCTCCCATTGGGTACATATAACTTCAGTCTTCATTCTTCAAAATATTGACAAGTTCTCTCATTCCCTAGTTACCAGGGAAGTTGACTGTAATAACTTGTAAGATAGACCAATGGGACTATGCCACCAAAGAGAACCTTCTTATGCCCAGTAAGGTCGGATGGTGAGTGGATGCTTAGTGAATGCTTGTTTGATAACAGACACATGGCAGAAGCAACATGTCTTTCCTGCCAGCTAAGTCATCCTAGCTAGAGCCTGAAGCTGTGAAAACACCCCACCATCCCACAGACCTAAAACCTCATGTTGCACCACATTATACCTCTGGCGGCAATTCATGAAGCTCTCAGAGACTCAACACTTGGGTCTAATGGGGCTGAAAATGGGGACTAGTTTACAGCAGCAGCATCCCCCTACCCAGTGCTCACTGGGATCCTATGAACTAAAAAGGCTGAAGAGTCAGCACCATGGGGACACTTGAGAAGCTCAAGTTCCCAGAGACAGAACTCTAGGTAAATGATACACAGTGTTCCTTAGTGGAACCCGGCACTGTCCCTGCAGTCAACAGAACCCAACTTTTCCTGTAAAGCGCTGGTTATAGGACACATTGCCCAGCTTCCTCTGCACTCAGTGGGGCTGGGCGTACCAGGATTATGGACCAAATCTCACCCTCACAGTAAGGGGAGGAATTTATCAGACCCCAGATTCCACTCATTTCACAAAAATTTCCACCTCAGCGACACTCACCCGTAGAGTTCTGAGAACTGTTTGTGGAAGGAGACAGAATCGCTGTCCTGGCCTTGCAGTTTGAGTCGGCCCCAGTGCTCCTTTAGCACTTCCAGCTGCTTCCACAGCACCAGAAATGATCTCAGGAAAGCAAGGGACATCACTGCATTGCATGGGCCCCTCAGCAGCCTGGAGGCTTTTGGGCTGCTTTGGAATGGACTTCTGAATCCTGGCACTCTGGACAAATTTGCCTGAAAGCATTACAGAAATTCTTCCTTATTAATCATAGATCAATATAGGATAACTTTTACATATAGCCCATGCAGAACGAACATTTTGGAGAAGGCCTATTTTCCCCAGGAGGAATGATTCATGGGTTTACAGCACAGTTAGAGCTTAGAAAGGGTAAGCATCCTTTCCAAATACATAGGATACCGAAAAGAGGGAAATGTCTCCATTTCAGCTTTCTGCTTGAGTCTTGAATCACTCATTTAAAAAACTCTTTTACTTGGGTACTAACATTTTACCTGCCTTTGAAAAATTGAGCCTTTCATGTTTAGCCTCTGCATTCTGGAAAGTGCCCTTCAACACACTTGAGATTTAATTCCCCTTCACAGTAGGGCTGTAATATAACCTCAGATTAGGGATTTTATTGTTTTATGGATAAGGAAATGGAAACGTAAGTTTATCTTATCTCCTATTCCTTCTCCCATCCTTTAAAAGTTTACAAGTCTCTTAATTTGAATTTAGTATTCAAAGGCAATTTTCCTTTAGAATTATAATTTGTTTATTTGTTCATTGGTACTTTCCCTAAATCAGTGTTTGTTGAGGGGCTGCTCCGAGCCCTGGAGGATGTGGAGGGAACGAGGTTTTCAGGTCCCCCTCTCCTGCAGCCAGAGTGTGAGGAGGGCCAGAGTCACCCAGAGAGCGACAGACAAAACAAGGACCTGCATCCAGGCCCTCACCCTGATGACAGGGTCTCAGTCACAGAAAAAGGAGCATTGCTTTGCAGACGAAGATGGCAAACCTGGATCATAATGTTATGGCAAGAAGGGCCTCAGAGAACATTCAGGTAACAGCACCTCAGATACTCAAGTTTCCTGGCTCAGAACAGGAAGAACACCCACGTAGTGTAACTGGATCAGTGCTATTAACGTATCTACAGAAAGGCACAGCTGCCAGAAAGAGGGTTGGTCAGAGGTGGAGTTGGCAAGCCAGACCCAGGGGAGAGCCCACAGCCCTGCACACAGCTGACAGCCCCACAAGTAGCCTACCTCCTCACTAAGCAGCTAACTCAAGATTTCCAGATTTGTTTATCTTCAGGAAACCTTTCATCAAATAAAACCTTACGGAGTGACGGTAAATATTCAACAGAGTAAGGTTGAGCATGGTGACAGGGAGGGGGCAGCCTACGGGCCATGTAGCCCCCTCTGCTCAAAAAGCCCCAAGATGCCCCTTTTAAAGGGTTTGTGTGCAGTTTCAAACCTGAAGACCCAGCAAAAAAAGAACAGTTTGAAAAGCACCTGGACTATATGTGAAGGAGATTTACTGGCTAATCTAAAAGCAAATGGAGGGGAGGGGCAGATGAACTCTCCCCAGAGATGGGGGATGTCACTGGCAGATGCCAATATTTCACCCTCCGCTTACCCTGCTAGCACAGGTGAGCGAACTCAGATGCAAAACCCTCCTACCACCACCTTGCTAAGACAAGCAGGGGCACTGGCTGCCTTGCTGGAGCCAGAGCGGGAGTCAGTTGCAACGCTTCCCTGCCCCCTAGCTGGGGTAGGCAAGAGCAAGCAGTAGTAGCATTCTCCCACACCTTAGCTAAAGCTGCTGAGCACAGGGGGTTGCAAGATTCCTGCACTCACTGGATGGGGCTGGCAACTGTGAGCAGTCCCAGCACTTTCCTGCTCTCAGCCTAAAGCCAGAATGTGCACACAGACAGGACATTCCTTCCTCCTGCTGCATTCCCGAAGCCCCCAGGCACGTGCAGTCAAGACATTTTCCTGCTGCCTTTCTGAAGCTGGAGAGAGTGTCCCACCCCCTACATTCTCCAGCTACCTAGTTAAAGCCAGTGGATATATGCAATCCACACAGGGGATGCTCCTTGACTGTCTGGCCCTGGGGGCCAAGGGGGTTGACATTCCTGAGCTCCAAGGCAATGTAACAGTCAGAAAGGCAGCACCTAGCAGGCCACCCCTCCAGGGCATGGCAGACAGCAGACTGAAGCACAACCTTGTCTTCCTGTGAAAAAAGCCTATTTACTTAGCCTGCAGCTTCAGCCTAAGGAGCAGGCTTCAGGTTTTCCCTACATCTAGAGGCTACAGAAATGCTCCCAGAAAACATAAGCAGGAAGACACCATCCTTGTGCACCTCCTATGCCTCGATACAGCTCAATAAGTCCTCCCAGAAAGAGCTTATACACTCATGTAGAGTCCCAAGTTTTGCAACTGTCACCCAGAGGATATCTTCAGATCTTTTGGTCTGGAGGCCAGCAGGGATTATGACTGTGACTACACAAGACTATATCTGCATATATTTTTTAAGAGATTTTATTTATTTATTTGCGAAAGAGAGAGAGCACGAGTAGAGTGAGGAGGGAGGAGAAGAGGAAGAGGGATAAGCAGACTCCCCGTTGAACAGGGAGCCTGACGTGGGGCTCAATCATGACCTGAGCCCAAGGCAGATGCTTGACCTACTGAGCCACCCAGGCACCCCAATATATTTGCATATTTTAAAAGCTGCTGCCTGAGGGTCTAGCTTCAGATTAGCCTGAAACTTGGTGCTAAATGAAATTTCTCCCATTGGAACACTGACAGGCCTTGGTACATCCTCAATAACAAGGACATATCAATAATAAATCAGGCTGATTAGACAATCACAAAGTTGCAAGAAACAACCAAGAGCTAGGGCAAGGTTGAACGAGAAGTTTCATCAGCTACACAAAGGCACTCCAAGACTGAGAGACTCAGAAAAAGACCATAATGCTATGGAGATAAGTAATCTACCTGATAAAGAATTCAGGGTAAATGTCATAAAGATGTTTACCAAACTTGGGAGAGGAATGGATTAACACAGTAAGGGTCCAACAATGAGATAGAAAATATAATAAAGTACTAAACACGAGTCCACAGAGCTGAAGAATATAATAACTGAACTGAAAAATACAGTAGAGGGTTTAAACATCAGATGTTTATCTATTTATCTATATAGCAGATGAATGGGTCAGCAAGCTAGATGCAAAGCAATGGAATTTACCCAGACAGAGCCACAAAAGGAAAAAGGAATTTTAAAAAATGAAGATAACTTAAGGGCTTAAGGGACCTATGAGACAACATCAAACAGAATAACATTTGCATTATAGGGGTTCCAGAAAGAGAAAAGAAAGAGAAATGGGCAGAAAACTTATTTGAAGAAATAATGACTGAAAACTTCCTTAACCTAGGGAAGGAAACAGATATCTAGGTCCAGGAAGCCCAGAGAGTTCCAAATAAGATGAACTCAAAGAGATCCACACCAAGACACATTATAATTAAAGTGTCAAAAGTTAAAGAGAGAATCTTAAAAGTAGTAGGAGAAAAACCAATTGTTACATACAAGGGAAACACCATAATCAGCATATTTCTCAGCAGAAACTTTGCAGGACAGAAGAGAGTGACATGATATATTCAAGGTACTGAAAGGAAAAAACCTCCAGCCAAAAATACTCTACCTGAAGGTTATCATTCAGAATTGAAGAAGAGAGAGAGTTTTCCAGACAAAAGCTAAGGGAGTCCATCACTCCTAAACTGGCCTTATAAGAAATGTTAAAGGGACTTTTTTTTAGCAGAAAATAAATGGCACTAATTGTTAACAACAACAACAACAACAACAAAGCATACAAAAGTAAAAATCTCACTGGGAAAGGTAAATATATAGTAAAGGTAATGGGTTAATTTATAAAGCTACTATGCAGGTTAAAAGACAAAATAAAATTAACTAAAACTACAATAATTAGTTAAGAGAGAAATAAAAGAAAAAGATGTAAAATGTGACATCAAAAACAAACATGAAGGGGTGTGATAGTTAAAATGTAGGGTTTGGAAAATGTTCAAATGTAAGTTGCTATCAACTTAAAAGAGACAGTTATATACATAGGATGATATATGTGAACCTTACAGTAACTACATAGCAAAAACTTGTATTAAATACACAAAAGAAAATGAGAAAAGAATCTAAACATAACACTAAAAAAAGTCATCAACCAGAAGGGAAGAAAGAAAGAGAAGAAGGAAGGAATAGAAAGGAACTATAAAAACAGTCACTAAACAAGTAAAAAAATGGCAATAAGTACCTACCTATCAATAATTAAAATAAATGCGGGCGCCTGGGTGGCTCAGTTGGTTAAGCGACTGCCTTCGGCTCAGGTCATGATCCTGGAGTCCCGGGATCGAGTCCCGCATCAGGCTCCCTGCTCGGCGGGGAGTCTGCTTCTCCCTCTGACCCTCCTCCCTCTCATGCTCTCTGTCTCTCATTCTCTCTCTCTCAAATAAATAAATAAAATCTTAAAAAAAAAATAATTAAAATAAATGCAAATAGATTAAATTCTCTAATAAAAAAATCACAGAGTGGCTGAATGGATAGAAAAGCAAGGCACTTTTATATACTGCCTATAAGAGACTCACTTCATAAGTAAGGACACACACTAAAAGTGAAGGGATGGAAAAAAGATATTCCCTGCAAATGGAAATGAAAAGAAAGCTGGTGTAGTTATGCTCATATTAGACAAAATAGACTTTAAAACAAAGACTATAATAAAAGACAAAGAAGGGCACTACATAATGATAAAGGAATCAACCTCAAGAAGATAAAACATTTCTAAATATATATGCACCCAATGTAGGAGCACCAAAGAACATAAAACAAATATTAAGAGACCTAAAGGGAGAAACTGACAGCAATACAATAATAGTAGGAAACACTGACACCCACTTGTATCAGTTAATAGATAGTCCAGACAGAAAAATCAATAAGGAAACATTGGCTTTAAATGACACAAACAAAGCCCAAGTTAGTAAAAGGAAGGAAATAATAAATATCAGAGCAGAAATAAATAACATAGAGACTAAAAAGATAATTTAAAAAAATCAATGAAGTGCTGGTTCTTTGAAAAAATAAACAAAATTGACAAACCTGTAGCTAGACTCACAAAGAAAAAAAAGTGAGGGTTGAAAGAGAAGTTACAACTGATACCACAGAAATAGAGAGGATC